CACTTCCTCTTCCCGCCCGGCGGGGCGGCTCCAGGTGGGAGAGGGAGCGGCCCGGCCCGCCCCGGCGGGAGGCGGCCCACGGCCGGCAGCCTCGGCGCAGCCGGCTGCCACGCAGAGTCCTCCCCCACCTTTTGTAAAACCTACCCTCGCTGCGCCTTTCCCCGTGGCTTAAAAACGCTGAGGAAAAGTAGATGACCAAGCACCTTGAAAAGCGCACCGTCAGCAGTTTAAAAAGGGCTACAGCAGATGGGTATTTAAAAAAAAAAAAAATTATTACATCTTACTACTCCCTTTCACACCATCCTGTTTTGGATATCACAGCTACAGCGGTTTGACGGGTTTTTCCATCTCTGTCAGTAGGTAAAATGTTCCCATGTGACTGCTGACAGGGTATCTAAAGAGCAGGAAAACAATCACAGAAAGGAAAAAGAAGCCTTAATGCTTTAGGAGTTACTTGTTTGCCCACTATTTCTTTGTGTCTTTTAGAGGAGGGGAAACAGATTCTAAAGAATGACATTTCTAGCAAAAAAAAAAAAAATATTACAAATACCCACACAAATACATTGCGCAGTAAAGGGTAAGGAAAAAAAAATGCAGGTGAATAGTTTGACAAGTTTTGGAAGAAGGGACACAACTTACTTAGCCCCGGTCTTAGTGGGACAGCTACCTCCATTCACCTAAAGACAAATGTAGTTCACAGTATAAGCTCAAGTTATTTTTTTTCCTGGGTAATTTACTTTATAAAATCAATAAAGTGGGCTAAAATTACTCTTAAAAATATGTCTGCTAGAGGAGAAAGCAGGCTAACAGAACCCTAATCCCTGTGCAAAAATTACTATTAACAAAGCGAAATTAAACTCAAGTTATTCTAAATATTACTAAGCAGTGCACCAAAACTACAACCCTGAAAATGGGATTATCAAGAAGTGAAAAAACACTTTTTAAAAAGCAAAGTAAGTCTTCAGTGTCAACAAAAATTCCACCCCTCAAATAACACTTCAAACATGGCATTCTGTTTTTATTTACCTGAAAATTAAATTTGCTGACCCCCCCAATCTTCAGTCTTCCAGTTCCAAGCATAAATTCTGCTGTGAACTACTTAACATGTTCTCTGCTCTGTGTTTTAGCATGATAAATCACTACTGTCCATAAGACACTGCAAAAACAACTTCTTGACTTTTAACTCTCCATTAGTTTGAAAGGATAAAGTTGAAGTTGTAAGATCCATTTTGAGATTCCCTGCTCTCTAAACATGCAAAAATTCCAAGTTTAAAGTTTTCTCAGATAATTCCACCGTCTCCTTATTGCAGATAAAATGTATACTTTAATTTTCATAGCACTCTTTCCAACTAAAGCCTTTAAAGACCTTTGGAAATGTACAAAAAGTTATATTTAACCAAGCTTTAAATAAAGATCACTGTAGCACAGCCATATGCCTTTGACACATGCACTTGCATCTTCTTCTTTCTGGGGGGGTTTATTAAAATTGAGTGAAAGTGTTTTTCTCAATTTCTCCGATATAGCTTTGCTGTATAATTCACAGAAGGAAGTCAACACACAGTTTTGCCAGTTCGTGAAAGCTTTTTCTATTTCACTCATTTATTCTAGCTCTCATGTCAATTCCATTGTTCCATAACAGTTAAGGTTTTACAGCCTTAAAATAATAAACGTATGTTCTTTTCACATTTTACAAGTCTATTCCACGTTGTTTTCACTTTTGAGAAGCAACAATACATGACTTTGAACACCTACAATCACATAAGTGACCAGAAACGTCTATGCAATTTTTTTCTAAACAGTGAAGTTTAGCTGAACAGTGAGTCAGGATCTCCTTCTGCAGTTTCATTTTAGCTTTTTCTAGAAAGATAGATTCTCTGAAAATATAAAAGAGACTGCAAATGATCAGATAGCAACTCATATAGACAAGCCAGACAAACAGAGATGCATTATTGAACAATGTTTAAAGCATCAATCACAATGTTTTTCCATTCCATGCATTCCACATCCTGATGTTGATCTAGAGGACATGATGAAATATGCTTCACTACTGCTTCGATTATCCTGTAACTTTATCCTTCTGTCTTGTCTTCTACATAAGATATGGTTTACAAATACATTAAAGTTGACATAACGGCCCTATTGTGACCCAATTTTGTATTGGTTCCCTCGACTCCTATGTCTCTCCCCAAATACCACCATGGTCATAATCTCTTAACAAAGCAACTGTTGCTGCTATGTAGAACAGCACTTCAGTCTTCATCACATGGACCAGAATACACTGAAGTTGTGTGAAAGTTTTTTGCTACTCTTTTTAGAAGTAAATCATAGCTTTAACTACGAGTAGAAGTAGGCAATAAATCAGTTTTCTTCGGAAAACTGCTTTTCAAAAACTGATGAACACATGTGAACTTGAACAAGAAAATGTCACATCTAACGGAACATTCTTCTACTGGGGAAAAGTCATCATTTGAAACAAGATCTACAGGGCAGCAAACAATCATTAAGATGCTTTATTGACAATATCCACTCACCGTAAAAGTACCTGCCTGCATACAATTAGATCTTAGTTTTTCAATAGTGTTTTATTGGCAGTGGAAAATGCATCAGTACTTTACTGAAAGAAAGCAATAAATAATACTGTGATAAAAATAGTTCAAAAGTAGACTGTACATATTGTTACATAATCTGAAAATACACAAGATTAATAGAAAAAACAGTAACACTGAATTTCAGTTTTACAAGCAAGTTAAAAGTGGAAAACAAAATAAGAAAAAGACATGCTATATATATTGTTGCATAATAAATAATGCACCATCTGAACAGATTCTTGCTGGCTTTTTAATATGCCATTTACAAGTGTTGGATACATTTTCTACTCATACAAGTCCAAAATGGCTACAACCATCAAAAATTAAAGTCCAGACAACTCTTTAGAACAAGTTTACAAAACACAAAAGATGACTTACATAAGAAAAGTAAGGCCTTTATTAGAAGTTGCACTGCTTTAGTTTTCAGCCCATTGTACCTTCATCTTTCATTACTCATTTGACATGAGACTGCAGTGCTTCATGATTGGTCCGTTAAAACTAGTTTCACCAGCATCTTTCCACAAGTGTTTTCAATCAAAAAGATCTAGGAAAAAAACTCTGTGGCCTGTGGATTACGACCAGGAATTATTATGAAGTCTATCCTCCTCAGTTAAGGAAAAAAAAAAAACCCCACAAAACAGTTCTTGGTTTATGGCTTGTTTTCAGTCACTGTGAAGATAACGCTATACAAATACAGCAGAGAGTGTTATGACCAAGTCAATCACTTCTAAAAGGTGTCCCGTTGTGTTATAGTTCCTCCCAGCTTTTAAAACAAGTTATATTTTAAATAAAGACAAATTCCCACTACTTGACAAATCCTCTTTGTGGAAAGGTACAGTTCTGAAAAGAAGAACAATCATGTACCATGCCTTCTACAGCAACATATGCTTACCTGAAAAAAAGCTGACTCGTTTTCAGATCTAAGCTAACATTTCAAAAGACAAAATATATACTGCTTGGTGTCATGATACTTTTACAAAGGTATTAAAATCCTTTTCACCTTCAGTTTCATTATTAAAAAACAATGATAATTACAGTAACTGCATAATTTACAAAAACCCTATATTACTTATAGGGACACATACATACAAGCATTACAGTACATTCAGTTGGAAAGACTAAAATTAGAATAAAAAAATCAGCAATGATTTGATTTGTAGACTGAATAGAAACAGAAAAAGTAAGTAACTATATAAATGAGAAGTCACATAAATATAAGAAACATTTAGATTCTAAAATATTTTCTCTATAGTACTCATGAATTTATTTGCTAATTAAAAACTCTGTAATAAAATATCTCAAAGTGTCCATTTAACAAGTATTAACAGGTTAAGGGTTCCAAATGTTCAAAATGCTGCATATCACCGGTAGAAATAGTGTGGGTAAACTGTAAAAACAACAACAAACACACAAAAAGAAAAAACAAAAAAAATATTCCATTAGCAGTTTTTTTTAAAAACATTTTGTTCCAAGTTTCTCACAAACAGCTCAGTAGTGTAGCAGTCATGCATCAAATTATTGCCATGCCATGATGTACACAGTTTTATTGCCTTCTGTAATCTTCAGTTGCAATGCAAGTACATGAGGTCAAATTCTGCTTCCTAGATTTTTTGCCTAGGTCAACTGATTATAGAAAATCCTGAGACAGTGCAGAGAATTTTGGGGAGAGGAAGACTTAAAACTTTGATGTCTTGAAACTAAAAAAAAAAGGAAATTTAAGATAGCCCCTGAGATTATGAACTGACAGATCCACATGATCTGAGTTGCTATGTGCAAGAGTTTCCCTTCTCATACATTTCATACAGAAGAACTCTTGGGAATTAAACTTGCATATGCAAAAAGTTCAGAATTTAAAGGAAAGGTGGCCAATACCTGAATTGATAGGGATGTTACTGGTGTGAAGAAAGGAAAGAGGTTGTAAGCAGAAGAGGCAGGCAATTTATAGCCCACGGAAGATAACAGCTAGTGAGAGAAAGATTTGCAGATTCTTTTTCTTTTTTTTTAAAAAAAAAAAAAATCAATATAGTAAAAGAAAAAAAAAAAGGGCTTTCAGACTTGTTTGCAAAACAAGAGAAGTACTGTTCCATGAGAAAACACATCAGAGGCTACTGAAGAAAATCATTCCAAATCCTGAAGTAAAACAGGACTACACATCTTTCATAAACCAGAATACATGTATTTTATGTTATCAAGCTGCCTTTTACTGTTAACACTGCTCACAACCACCCAAATTTAGGCTGCAGGTAGGATGGCTGGTTGGATTTAGCTTAAGACAAATTTGACCAAGACTTTTCTGAAAG